AACAATTAATTTCATGTAAATCAATCCATCTATATACATAATCTTGTCTAGAACGGCCCATTTTTGCATGAAGAAAAGACTTTTCTTCCATTTTAGAGATTTTCCACACATAAAAAGTAAATGAATACAATTATTCAGTAAAATAATAGTATTAATAACAAGATATTTGCCTGAAATGCCAAGTAATTTGAAGTCATCTAGTACCTTTTACGAACTGACACAAGTTTATAGGGTTCAGCTGTCAATGACTAAAGACAATGCACAGATCTGGGATTTTGGTATTTATAAAGTATGGTGAGATGAGTGAATTAAACGACAATTAGTTCAAATGATTGAGTCACTAAGCAAGAATAGTGATAATGAAAGAAAAGTCAAATATACTGACATTTTCTTCAACTTACTACTGCAACAAATCACTAAAATAAGAGAGTAAATTGGACAACTTTGTACTTTAGTGCACAACCAATTGTCAAGTCAAACTAGACTCTCACAAATTTGTAAAAGATCTACAACAATCTCTCTCATTGGAGATCAATGAGAAGTGAATCATAAACAAATAATTAAAAACATAGCTAACAATAATGAACTGAGAGTAACATTAACAATTAGTCTCATTTGAACATTGCAAAAAAATATTAAGCACTCCTTACTAAGAGACTGATCATTTAATCTATATATAAAAACAAAAAACAATCTTTTTTTCATTTGCCATGTACTTTCAGGATGTAAACAATCGTGGCTCTCTATAAGTTCTTATCTTTTGTTGTTCTAAGTAACATTTTATCAGCCCTCTTTCTCATTGTTTTGCCATCCATTCATACCAACAGCTATAAAATGTCTGATCACAAAGAAATAGGTTACCTTCAAGAATGCCTGGGATATGAAAGTTCTCTTCTCCAAGAGAAGGGACAGTCCAGACTTTCTAGTCAGCTTTTTTTCTTCTTTTTTAAACTTGTATAAGAATAAATAAGTACATAAGCAGAAGTTACTTTGAATTGTAGCACTAAATATATTGATAATTACTTTGTTTTTCATTAGTAGCTTTATATGAGGGGTGCTGAAAAGTTCTGTCTTTGTATGTACCAGTGGTATTTGTAAGGAGTTTCAATTATTTCTATAAATATAAACATATTGTAACATTTTTTTTTGCAAAAATGACTGTAGCTAATCAATGTTTTATGAATGAACAAGATGTTTCAAAGATTATTTGAATAAACCCTGAAAAATCGACAATATTGGTAATTAAGCAATCAAAACACATTTTTGAAATTGTATTTATCATTAACAGTCAATAATAATATTCAATGCCATTAAAGACGATAACTATTCCTACAAACCACTCATGACAACCTTTTTCATATGATTACTCTTACTAGAATAAACTGTGTTAAGTATTCATGGTTTATTTATTGTTTGTATACCTCTTTCCCCAAGCTGTTAAAAAAAAAAAAAAAAAAAAGATATTTTATTAGGTTACAATTATTATGTTGTCACATTTAAGCCATTTTTTTTCAATTATTATAGTTACTCAGAACATTATCCAGACACTAATTAATAAACTCCAAGATACTTTTTGGTCTTTTCTATATTTCACAGAAATGAATTTCTTTACATTATTCACTCCATTGGAATGAGTAATGCAAAGAAATGGTCATTTTTGTGTCAAAGACACTGCTCCCGGACATTGACAGTGCAAGGGAGATAAGTATCTCTTCCACAGGTGCTATAAAATGTCATTATATAAACACATTTAACATACTATATAAGTAAGATTATTAAAAGATGTTTGTATGTTCTTGTCAGGTTAATGAGAGCATTAATATACTTTTTCATTTTGTCAATATGTTGTAATAATTCTAAGTCATTTCTTCAGTAAAACTTGCATACAAAATTTTAAGAGAAATTAAATCCTTTGTTATTTTTAGAGAATACTTTATTATAATTCAATCCCTTTTTAACACTTTTGTATCTGTTCCTTTAACTCATCCACAAGCTACAAATTTCAAGTTCAAACAAGGGAACATTTTGTGTGAGTGAGAGAGAGAGAGAGAACCTCAAAATCACTGCTTCCATTGAAATTATTTTTACGGATAAATGTAAATTGATAAAAAAAAAAAAATAATCTATGTGATAAAAATTAAAGAGAAAAAAAATTAGATAAGTATTTTTTTTTTAATTTCTGAGTCACAAATCAAAATTCTTAATGCATGACTACATTCAAAAAGAAAATATTTGTCTATATAGATATAAGCATATATACTGCATATACATAGAATTCTAGCAATAGTGTGAAAATGTAAAAAGCACATACATGTGAGCACACAGGTATACAAAGATGCTTAATAAAGATTCATAAGTGATAAAAATCAAAGTATGATGGTGATACAGACTGTAAACTCCTCTTCAAATAGAGAGTTCCCAATGTGTTGCAGCTTCCCTGAGGAAACGTAATTGCCAAATTCAAAGATTAATTAAAAATTTGAAACTTCGGTTTATCTTTTTTACTTTTGCAAAATTTATTTAAATAGGTATACAATTCTATTTTGTTAGTAATTCCTATCTTTGATATGTGAAAATGCCAGGAAAGCATACTCCAAAAAGATACAATTACAAAACTAATTTGCATAAAAATCCCAGTTACTCCCTCTCAAAAGTTTTCAAACTAAAGACACATATTTTATTAAAACTTGCAATTATTAAACTGCTATATAAACATTTTTCTTTTTTTAATTTAATATTGCAAACTAATTAACATTCATTACATTAAGTAAGTTTCACAATAATAAAATAAATATCTTTGTATATGAGAATTTTGATTAACTCTTTTTTTTTATTTTAATCAAAAAGTTCATTTAAACCTTTGGATTATCTTTGAAAGTGGATATTAATTTTTAAAATACGAAAAAAAAAAAATATTAAAATTCATCATTTTTAAACTAAAGTATTACAAATATTTCAAAGAATGCACGAGAAAGGATATTTCTGGAGGTGATTAATGTGAAATTAAAATGGGATTTGTTTTGTTTATTTGAGGAGGAGGAGGAGGAGGCGGGAATAAAACAAACAAATGCATAATTTAAAAATAAATGTCAAAAAAGCAATTAAAAATAAAAAGCATTAATAATGAAACATGCAAAAAAAAAAAATTTAAAGAAAAAAAACTTGTAAATTTGAATGTTTTTTTTTAATATATGAAAAAAATAAAAATCTTTCACCCAATCAAAATAGAAACAAAAAGTGAGAATTTAAGGATCTTTCTTTAATCTTTAGAATTGATTAAAAAAAAAAGAATAATTTCTTTAAAAAAGGCAAAAAGAAATAAAAAGTTTATTACTTGACTTGCTTTTTTTTAATTTAAAAAAAATAAAAAATAAAAATAAAATAAATTGAAAAATGAAATAAAAAATAAATCAAATAAAAAGTGTAAAATACTAGAAAGTGAAATTTAAAAACTTCAAATTGAGTTGTAATTAAGTGTTTTATTCAGAAGTTTTTTTTGTTTTGTACCACCCCTCCCATCACTCCTCAGTCAATGAATGGAACAGAATCTATTTTTTTTTTTTTTTTGCCCATAGATGCAATTCCGTTATTTTACATAAATAGAAGTAATTGAAGCAAACAATATCGTTTTAATTACTCTTTATCTAAATCTTAAGATGTTTATTCTCTCTGTTCAGATTTAAAAAAGAAAAATTAAAGTGCTGTGCGCATTTCAATGCGTTACGTGGAGGAGAAAGAAGGAAAGAAATATAAAAACTGAAACGACTATTTAATTTTAAAATTAATGAAACTATAAAAACTATAGAGGCTTTCTTGAATAATAATTCAAATTTGAATTCGATATAAAGAAAAACAAAAAAAAAACGAAAACATAATCGCTAAAATTGAACATGTGGAAACTAAAGGAAAAGCTACATATACAACCAACTCCAGATCGTGTTTCTTCCTACAAGCAGAGGTTAATTTAAATATCTAAACAGACGATTTAACGAAGATGATACTTCAGGATTCTCACCAGAAAAGACAGCAGAAACCTCGGGGGAGGCTGTAAGTTATTAGAAATACGGATAGAGGCGATCATTATGATATAGTAGCAAGCAAGAAAATAGGAAATTATTATTGTTCATAATATTCACTTCCTAGGGAAAAAAATCCGGGAAAAAAACGGAAGAGTAAAATAGGTAAGAGATGACTGCAAGAAAAAAAATCAAGCTAGATTTAAAGACAACCAGCGGGTCTTCTTCTGCTATTAGCTGCAAAGAAATAGGATGAAAATCATGGGAAAAACCCTTTAAACCTAGTAAATAATGTGAGCACTTTATGTGAAATCGTGAGAGGTTGAACGAAATACAGACCGCCATATTGTGTGTTCTGCAAGTAGAAAGTTTTGGTGAACCCACCTTAAAGAGAATCAAAGAGAAAAATTATAAAAAACAAAGATTGGGTGATTATTTTCGGTTGGATTGATCAGGAAGAGACAGGAAAAGGTGGGAAAATTGTTTTTCTCTTGGATCATGGTTGCTGGCCGTTAGGAGACGAAAATAAAAAAACACGTAGCAAAGAAGCGCAAATGCTTCGAGTGAAAGCGTAAATGTGTATTACGGTCACCCCCCAAAAAATAATAAAATAAGACTTTTTTTTCTCCTTTTAAGAAGAAAAAATAAATTTAAAAAAAAAAAAAAAAAATAATTAAAAGAGAAAAAAAAAAAAAAACAGAGAAAAAGTGCTGGAAATTCTGAGAAGCGAAAATAAAAGAGATGAAAAGGAGAAATATAGACTTTTTACCGAAGAGGAGAAAACGAGTTAATTCGAAGTAAACACTAACGAGACATGTTTATGTGGGGGGAGGATTTTTCAAAACGATCGGAGCTACCAGCCATCAATAACACTATTAATTACAGGCCATGGATAAGCGACCAGGAAGAAAGCCGGCATTCAACAACGCCATCAAACGAGTCCCGAAAGTTTAAACTTAACAGCAATTAAAAGAAAAATCATACCTGAGTGTTTTTTCCATCCATATTCGAGCCGTGAATGTCGACTCCATCTGTCGAGATGTGATCTCAAAATGGCACCTATACTATTGTACGCATGCGCGACGCGCGACTTGTGGGAAGGGGGAATGAGAAAGACAGATACTTCGTAATAAACGGAACAACCAGAGAGATAGGGATAAAGACAGTAACGGTTATGAAGAGAGAAGGAAAAGAAAAAGAAAGTAAATGTTATAGCTAGAGAAGTGAAACAAATTAGAAACAGTTAAAGTTTAATGTTTTGATGAAGAGTGCGTGGTAGGAGGAGAAAAATAGGAGAGATGGGGGAGAAATTAATAAAAGTTAAAATAAAAAATGTTGAATGATTTTTTTTCTTTTAAACCGTAGAAATTGAAAAATAATCTTAATCCTGACAGTAAAATAAATAACAGACTTTGGGAATATGATTAGTTTTTGACTTTGTTAGTCACATCACATGTAATAATAGATTACTCAACTCAACTGTGTTAATGCCAAAAAAAAAAAAAAAAAAAAATGAAGTTATTTAATTTAAAACTAAATTTTCACCTTAAATTCTACACAAGCGAAGCAACGATTAAAAATAAATTTTATGTATTAATCATTAAGAGTTAAAAGAAAACTAAAAGAATTTTGTTTTACTACTTTTCTGCAACAAAATTTATTTAACGCTATTTAAAAGTTTTATTTCCGTTTTTAGCAGTAATCAAGAAAAAATGTTTATGGCATAAATTTTATGACTAAAATGAAAATTAATATCAGTAATAATTGCGTAAAATATGCATTATCTGCTGTGTAAATTTTTTTTTTAAAGTCTCAAATAAAAGAAAAAAGTAAAACACAGTTCCAGTAAGTTATTGTTCTTGTTTCAAAGTTTAAAAAAATCCTTCCCCTCCACAAAAAAAAAATGTTTAACTCGAAGGAAGGAAGCAAAGTTCAGGATTTCTGTTTTATCTACATGACAAAGATAATAATTCTAACTAAGAAGCTATACCTCGATATATGAAAAATAAAAATCGAGAATAGTTACCCTCCATCCCCATCGCCCATATTTGCTATCACTCAAGTTTCAAACTTAAAATTTCATCTAAAAAGCATGAACGTACTGATGTTAAAGTTATTTGTTGTACTTTTACTGCTACAAAAGTAAAACAATCAACATATTTTGTCTTTTTGTCCCACGTTTATAATTCCACCAACAACGCACAAAAAAATGGAAGTAAAAATGAACGCAAATAAATAAATGACCCCCCCCCCGCGCGGGCCACATTATTCTATCGTTTTTATGGCATATCATGAAGACCAGAAAAATAGAGACGTTTGAAAGGAATACAAAATGTATTTCATTTCAATAATATGCATAAACTCGGTATTTAAAAGTCAAATTTTACTACACGACGTCGTACAGTTACGTTATTTTTTAAAAATGTGAGTTGAAATCCTAACACGTTCACTTTAATCTTCAAAGGAGAAAGATAAAAAAAATAAAAAAAACTTCGATATTACGACATAAAATGAAATTTCACTGATAAAGACAATAATCGTATGGAAAATTTTGAATAATCAATGAATATCCCGATCACTCGAACAATTCTGTACAAACCAGACTAATAACGCAGAGACGACAATGACTTCGAACTTTAACATACGTTTTTTTTTCTTTTTGTTAATCTCTAAATGACATAATAATGAAGAATGAAGATATAAAGTGAAAGAAGAGTAACAGCACTTTTTAAAAGCATTCTAATTTGAACAGATTTGCAACTAAAACGATCTTCTGTAACTTAATTTTTTTAACCCCGTCTTCTCTAAACAAAAAGATTAATTTCATTCCGTGAAATGAACATTATTTAACGTTTGTAGATAAAAAGAAAAGTTAGAAAAGTAATTTTCCCGAAAAAACGCATACATAAACTGAACCAAAAAATTAAACACAGAAAAAATAGCGGCCAAAAAGAAAAGTTTAAATTAAAAAAAAAAAAAAAAAACGAACTAACTTTTTTTTACTTAGGATAAACCACATTAACAAAAAAAAAAAAAAAAAAAGGTAACCTGAACCATCAAAACGAATAATAACGAAATTGAAATTATATTTTTCTTCCTTAAAATATTTTTGTGGATGAAAAAAAAATCTTCGTTTGGTATTTAATATTTCGAGAATTAAACATTCTTTAAGTAGATGGAAAATAATTTTAATTTCTTATGGATGTGGAAAAAGAATTTATGGCTCGTTTTTTTGTTTTTTGTTTTTGTGGGGGTTTTTTTTTTTTTTTAGGCGTTATTGATTTTACAAAATGTACTTAAAAAAAAAAAAAATAGTATCAAGAAAGAAAAAGAATTTCATCTTTTAACACAGTTTGCGTTTAGTTTTCCGGTTAAGTTTCAAACAAAATTTTATCAACCCACGTAACGATATCAACATTAACACAACAATAAATACTTAAATACTACCTCCACTGTTACAATCAAGAAATTATAAATGATACTTATCAAAATTATTTAACTACTATAATAATTAAAACAAAAAGGTTAGCGCTCAGATAAAATTTTATTTTATTCACGGAATTCACGTACCTGAAAGTGAGAAAATTTCTTTAAGTCGTATTAATGATTTATTTTTTTTTTTTTAGTATGGGTGATTTGTAAAGTTAAAGTAATACCATGGTGGAACCAAAAAGTCTTTGAAAAACTTTATAGTGCTTCCGCTTAACCTGAAATCTGGTTTGACAAAAAGCGTTAAATCAAGTTAATCCAAAGTTCACAAGATACTATTTTTTTTTCTAATACAGATATAAATATATACACTACTTTTAAATACAAGTGTTTTTTTTGGGGGGGGGTAACTTAGGTATTTGAAGGAATTTTAAGTGCTGTTTTATCAATGAAAACCTTCTGGGAAAAGTTATAAAATTTAAAATGTAACAGGGCCTTTAAAAAACTTGTATTAGAAAATTCAAGTTTTAAGTAACTGAATGAGAAAATAAGCATTTAAAGTAAATTGATTTTTAAATTTTTAGCGGGAAAATTAATATTCATTTTAATGAATTGAGTTAGGGGTTTTAAATTAATACGGAGAAGTTAAATTATTTAATAAACTCGTTAATTTTCTCTTTAGAAAAAATGTGTTGATTTACAGAAGGAATTTTGCTGGAAGTAAAAATTGGCATAGTACAATGGAGACATTCCATGATACAAAAACTCGGAAACTGTTTATGGCGACTTTGTAAAAGTTTATCCAAAATATTATTCGCAATTATAAGGTAGGGATTTTTTTTTTAACACAGAAGCAAAAGTAAAAATTGACAATCTTTAAATTATTAACGAAAACTTAATTTTTACTATAGCGATTCTTTGAGAAAAAAATCGTTCTTTAAGAGGAAGTGACGTATTATAGTGACACTAAAAAAACGTAAAATAAAATTTTGCCCCATAAGCATTCGTTACGTACACTTACGCACAAATACCCTTGCGAAAGGTACGACTTCGTTTTCCCTCCAGCTATGGATTAAATAGAACTTGTATCTGGAAAAAAAAAATCATTGTTATTTGCAAAAATTTAAGATTATTCTTACAATCTAAAATCAGCTTTAAAAATAACCTTTAATGGTTGATAAGCCGTAAAAAACCAACAAATCAGTTAACAATTTACATACTAAATAATTTACATACTAAGTTTTTTTTTTTTAGTTTTACACTACAGTGTCTGAAACTTTTCTAGGTGTTCATCTAAACTTGCCGTTTCTGCTCAAAGAAAAAGGCAACTTGCACTGATAATTAAAATTGAGAAAATAGGGCTGCACGTGCACAATCATTGGATTTAGTTAAGAGTACACAATTTTAAAGAACATTAAATAAGTAACTTTTAAATAGTATTTCTATTTTTTTAGGAGTTCCTTAACTTTTGTTATTTGTCCAGTGTGAAGAAAAGTTAAATACCTCATTCGTTTTTTTAAATTAACGCAACAATCGTAATGTTCATTTTTTTCTATTTGTGTTTGTCAGTTTTCTTTTACAATAAGTAAAGAAAGCTCATAGTTTACTTACGCGACAAACAATATTTAAATTCTATATACCTCGCTTCTGGCGCAAGGTATACTTTTTTAAAGTTTAACGTAGCATTTGTACGCTGTACAGGAATAATACTACGGTTCCATTTAAAATAAATTTAATGATTTTTTTTTTTTTTAAACTTCTCTAAAAAAAAAAAAAATCCTATATTTGTCTGACAACGCATATGTGCTGTGTGAAATTGTAATGGATACTGATTCAGTGATTAGTCGTAGTTTTTTTTCTTAAATTATTGTTTAAAAAAAATAAATCACGCAAGGTGCACAATGGGTTTGCTTACGAAAATAATTTCATAAAGTTAGTTCTATTGGCCGCATTAGGAAACGTGTTTTTTTTAAACAACTCCAAAAAATGTACGTATTACTATTAAAGATGCAATACGAACAGAAAAAAAACAAAAAAATATGATCAAATTAACTAAAAGAATGAAATGATTGAAATGCTACACTATTTTTCCGTTGCAATTATTAATTGAAGATGGTGACAGAAAAAAGAAAGGCTTGCTTCTTTCTTTTGTCTTATTTCCTTAGTCAACTTGTCTAGAAATGTTCAAATCGATCCTAATCTTGTTGAATGTTACTATTTACTAATCTTAGCTTAGTGCTAGCACAAGTACTGTATGGAACCTAAAGATCGAACTTAGTTTTCAGCCGTAACGATCCAACACCGAGGAAGTCACTAACCTGGTTTGCGAGAAGTATTATAGATAAAAATAAATAAATTATGAAGCAAAGATAAGTAGATATAAAATAAGATAAGCTGATAGCCATATTCAATAACAGACACGGACAGTCTCAAGTGAGGAGAGATACTACGATCCGATAAAAATGGCAAGGGTTGAAAACTGGCAAAGAAAAATAAAAAGAATGTGTAGCAGACGAGTCAAAAATTAGCCCAATAATTTTTTTTTCTTTTGTATACACTATATACGGTATTACTAGATTATAGTTGGGCTATATACAAGTAGCAAATTACATGGGCTACAGTTGAAAGCCCGCCGCTACTACATTTTAAATTGGCTTTCTTCAATAGCCTAAGTTAGCCCAGCTTCTTAAAGTAACCCCCCCCAAAAAAAAGTCGCACGTAACATTGGTCTTTCAATTTAGCAATTCACTTTTTATATTAATATTTTATATCATTGCTACCAATAA